TTGTTCTTGCGATACATAACTTGCGGTTCTACAATCTTCGAAAGTTGATATTGGTGAAACTGGATCATATTTTATGGAGAAAATATTTGCTGGTTTTCCCTCTGATGTCATCCACCTGCTTTGCCTCTTATCTGTGATTCAGCGTAGACTAGAAGCATGATTGTAGCTAAAGTAACGCTAACAGGTAACTGCTAACTAAAGTAGCTGCCGTTAGCTGCCGTTAGCTGCCCGTTAGCTGCTGTTAGCCGTGCTGCCAGGACAGTTGGTGTTCCCACTGCTAGCATAAAAGCTTATTACCGCTGGGAGGAATATTTCTTCTGTGAGTAGAGAAAGCTAGCTTATTTAGCTGGCTTGATATATGAGCAGTCTTGCACATATTGTTGTTTGGCTGTGTTAGCAAAGTTATTAAATTGATGGTTTCTGATATAGGTCATCTTAGAAAATGCATTTGTAGCAATAGAGCTGTCCATATTTACTAGGACATACCATACTAAGTGGTATTTAAGTGAATTGCTCTACACAAGTTTGGCAAAATACCCAATTTTACAAGATGTTGCTGTAAAACTCAAACATGCATCGATGTTTTTGGACATTTGCATTTTCTAATTCTACAAATGTGAATTTGTTGTATCTTTCTGTGTAGTTTTCATTAGTTTTACTAAGGGTTACGTTTTTGACATCTATTCTGCTTAGAGCCCCAGAAAAATGTACTTGTTGAGTGATATCTTTAGTGCTTTTGTTCCTGATAAGGCCATGGTACTTAGCCTTCCCCTTTTTGGATCCCCTATCCAAAAGATTTGAAATCCTGTTCAACCAAAAAGTATCCAATGAGAATGAAACACCTGTTGTATGTTGGCTATACATGTTTTTGCCCTTGTCTATTTAGTTCTAATTTCAGTTTGAATGTAAATAGCTGCAAATCAGTCAGTGTGCTCCAGTCCCTTCTTTTGCCTTGGTGTCATACAGTAGTTGTACTTTACTGAAGAATTATTTGGAGGTGCTGGGTTTAAGCTGATGAGCCTGAGGTCTGACTGAGAGCTGCTGGCGCTCTGCAGACGTTCAGTAAAACCAACAGAGTGAATTCACAGAGAGGCAGCAGCTGCTTCTCCTCCTGCTCCGAGGGAAACAGCTGCTTCACTGGTGGAGAGGAGCGCCTCAGGGACCGCAGTGACACGCACGCACACACACACACACACACACACACACACACACACACACACACACACACACACACACACACACACACACACACACACACACACACACCACACACACACACACACACACACACACACACGCGAGCACACACACACACACACACACACACACACACACACACACACACACACACACACACACACACAGAGCTCGCTTGTGTGCTGACAGGTCAACAGGCTACCAGGTGTAGGTGGAGGATGGGTGAGAGGAGAGAGGCGATAAGGGAGGAGAAGGAGGAGGAGGAGGAGGAGGTGTAACTGATGGCCGCTGCTTCTTACAGCCTTCAGCTATTTGTACAGAAAGGAAGATAAATAAATAAGCAAGACAAATGTCCGCTGCTCTGTGGAGGACAAACTAAATCTTGCCCGCGGCTCTCCTCTGCCGCTGTTTCACAAACTCTGAATCAGAGAGGGAGATTACAAAAACACCAGCACAAGAGCAGGAAATGAATCCCAGGAAACACACACACACACAAACACACACACACGCACACACACACACACGCACACGCACACGCACACACACACACACACAGGCAGTGTTTGAAACAGCAGAGGAAGCAGGGAGTTGCTGATTTGCATATAAAATGTATTGCACTAAAAGTGTGTTGAGAGCTACTTTTAGAGGTGGGGGTTCAATGCAAAGGAGCAAGTGGACGCAAGCAGCCTTTACATGAAGCAAATTGAGGTGAAGACCCGTTCGCTGTATGAATTATTGTAAGAAAAACTGACGGAATATAACAGACAACTTGTCCCTGTGCAGACTTTTCAATCCTCCCACTCTATTGAGGTGACTGATTCGCTGGCATCATGACATGAAACTGCGGTTTCTCGATTAAAAAGCATTTGAGGTAATCAGCCATGGGCGGGACTAACACTGTGGTCAAAATGTGCAGCATTATTACCTCACATCATAGTTTGTTTTTACTTTACTTCACTAACATTTTCGCCCAATATCAGACAGAATTGAGAACTCTCTCCATTTCTAATCAATTTGATGGGAGTGGGACGATTCAAATGTTGGCAAGGCTACAATGTCAACTTAAAACGTTGTTGGAGTCATGTGGATATGTTGGTCTCTAGTAGTAGGATAAGAACATTGAACCCTCCCTCTCCTGGGAAGTTGGTTGGCATTAGTGCTTCATCCAGTCTTTACAACTCCTAATGGCAATTTACAAGTCAGCATTCATTCATTCGCGCGCCGTTAGCCATGCTATCAGGAGCAACTTGCTAGCAACACACACATGCATTGTTGTGTGGGATAGAAGTAGTGCAGCTCGTAGAGAGATTGTCCATTACCTGTCGGCCTCGCCAACTTCCTGTCACCATTTTGATTTACTTTTCTATTACCTGTGGACCTGTGTGTGTGTGTGTCCATTTTTATCAGCTGTGTGTGTCAGATATTGTTACAGTGTGCATGTGTCTCAGTCTTGTGCAACTGTGTGGGTGTGTTAGTCTGTGTGTGTGCGCTGTGTGTGTGTGTTCCCCCTAAAGACCTGCATCACTGGCAGAGTGCTTTGCAGAATTAATTGCAAGATACACACACACACACGCACGCGCACACACACACACACACACACACACACACACACACACACACACACACACACACACACACACACACACACACACACACACACACACACAGACAGAGTCTCAGGTGGAGGATGAGCAGTGGCAATCGTTACCATGGTGTCACTGTCGCCATGCTCTGTCTAACCATCAGGGTGTGTGTGTGTGTGTGTGTGTGTCACTCTTTGTTTAAGTGTCACAGAAAATGAAACGGAGAGAAATGATTGTGTAATTACGTCTTGACAATTTGTTTTGTTTTCCATTAAAGAGGCGCGCTATTATGCTTTTTGGGGCTTTCTCTTTCCTGTAGTGTGATTTATAGGTTGTTGTGCATGTAAACGGTCTGGAAAGGCTAAAATCCCTGTGTTCCCTCCAGAGGAACATGGAAACATGTCACAGTAGAGGCACAAAATGCAAATATGAGCCTGAAAATGATCATAATAGGGCCCCTACAGCTCTGTTACCCACCAGGGGTGCAGAGAAACTGACGGCATCACTTCACAGTCATACAGGAGGTGTAAACCCCCCACAGACAGTTTTTGCTTCACAGCTGAGCTCTAATGAGTCTCTGATGTGAGTCTATTTTGGTTTCTATGACTTGAAAACACTTGCACGCCTCCGGCTGCAGAATGATCACAGTTCACAGATTTTAAACAAGAGGAAACACGAACACGACAAGTGCTTTGTGTCGACAAAGATTTACAGTATCACATGTTGAAAGAGAAGCATGATCAAACAATAACTTTTATTAATGCAGAAAACTGACATGAAACCAAATGAAAAGATCTGAACTAAATACGTCTGCAGGCAGAGTGAGACCTGCTCCCACAAAACAATTAACATCTGTTCTTAATATCTTCTGGTAATAAAATCAGCCACATGAAATGCAATGGGATCACACATGCCGCAACGCCAAATCGCAGCAAGATCATAAAGTGGGCCTAAAACCTGGATACACTCAACTTTATCTGCCTTTAGCTTAGCGGTGGTGACATAAAGTCATGTGACCGTGCTGTAGTTCCTTTATAGCCCAACATTAGCCGCCTTTAGCTTAGCGGTGGTGACATGAAGTCATGTGACCGTGCTGTAGTTCCTTTAGTCTTCAGTTCCATTAAGGTATATGGGAACAACTATTTTTCTGGCCATTAGACAAACTAGAGTTTTTGGCACTTCAGCTACATTTTTCCACCCTGAGATTACCCTTTTGTCCAATGGCTACCCACCAAATTGCTGCACGGTAACTTGGAATACGCTATTGTTTTAAAGTTACCTTCATTTTTTATTTTATTTACAAACTTGTAAAGTTTACTGCATCGGGGACACAGTTGGGGGGCTATTTCTATGACACAAATGTGTCCCCATATAAAAAGTATTATTTCATGCATTTTCATGTGCCTGATATGAACCCAAATTGAAAGGCAAAATCCCCAACAATGTTTTTTGATCATCCACAGGATTTGAATTCATTCATGAATGCATTTCTATAATGTGAAATGTTCTGTCTGTCGTGCTACAAGCTACAAGCAAACAGAAAACACTTTAGTTCATAAGAGACTTTCATAATTGAGGATTAGTCATCATACTCAAATAATAAAGTGCCATTTCAACATTGTTTTGCCTGCCAGCCACATAAGCAGCTTTTGTTTCCAGTTGTCATGTTTGATTGGGTATGAATGGAAACTCTGAAGGATTATGTACTGGCATCACTTTGAGATTCAGAGGATTTGGAGTTTATTTGGAGTTCATTTTAGGATTTTAAGCATCTTCACTGTCTCTTTTTACTTTGACAAAGGCATGCTTTATTTGGAAACACCTTATTAAGAGGACAAAGTCTACAGCAACAACAGTATCTCTGTGAGCTGGTAATGATAACTTTAAAGGGGCGCAATACTGCTCATTTTCAGGTTCATATTTGTATTTAGTATCTCTACTGTCTTTGCAGACCATTTACAGAAACCTATATAACACACTACTGGAAAGGGGAAACCCCCAAAAAGCATAATAGTGCCGCTTTAAAGAAAACAAACATGTGCAATCAGATAAAGTATCCTCAGGATTTTGTTTGGTCTCTTGCACGTTTTAAAATGGTTGCTGTAATGAACACTGCAGTCTTTAGGGGGGCTAACTACACTACACACTGTTAAACTTGTTTGCTATTTATGTGTGTGTGCTTTTACTCAAAATGTGTGTGTTTCTGTGTGTTTGTTTCAGGTTTCTGCTGAGCTGAACACATTGTGTCAAACTGCACTTTACGCCTGCACAAGGTAACACACACACACAGACACACACACACACACACAGAAACACAGACACACAGCAACACGCAGAGAACCAATTTGTAATTAGCCTGCATGTGTGATGAATTTTTCGATTTGTGCCTCCTGTAGGCGGGCCGCTGAAACTGGTTAGATACCACATCCATCATGAACACACACACACACACACGCACGCACACACACTCAGACCACTGAGCTGTGACTGTTTCGCATCTGCATCCATGGTTACCTTTGGGTTCATTTGGTGTTTGAAAACCCTTTTACGCTGCTGATAGTTTGTGTTGTTGGCTGTGTTGTGTTGCATGTTTGTGTGTGTGTGTGTGTATGTGTGTGTGTGTGTGTATCTAGATATTTTGTGTATGTGTCTGTTAAAGCAGCCAGAGTTCAAAAGGTCAAGTAGCGCTGCAGCTAACTCGCTAACTGATTAGTTCAGCCTGCTGCTGGCAACAAGGCTAACTGCAGGAGGTACATACACACACACACACACACACACACACACACACACACACACACACACACACACACACACACACACACACACACACACACACACACACACACACACACACACACACACACACACACACACTGCCAAATGATGCCAGGGGCCCAGTAGGCTGCAGCGTGCCATTACTCTGTCTCTCAGTGGATCTTGTTTCTGAGGCGCCTCAGTGGCTCAGTCACTGAACAAGTTGGAAACTCGCCCATTCTTCTTCTTCTTCTTTTTCTTCGTCCTTTCTCCTGCAATGTATCAAGCCGTCATTATGGTGAAATTAAAGTGATTCCCTAAGTTTTAAATATGTATGTTGTTCATTACAAATCTTATTTCTAGTAAAGAAAAAACATCAATTAAAATAGAAACTGGTGAGCTGATCTTGAAAGTGGTCCACTGGAGAGGATTGTTTGTTGTTATTGTTGTTCAGTTGTTATTTTGTGGATTGCTGGAGTCCTGACTGTGATAACGAGCAGAAAACCAAACTTCCTCGAGGCTGTCGATGCTTCCTCACAGCGGGTCGGCGAGGAAACACAAATATTATTTACTCTCATCCGTCTGTTAGTTGTCTCTTTGTGTCAAGTTCAGTCTCCCCTAAAAGCCGACGAGCCGACAGCTTCTCCAGTTTCTGTAAAAGCAACCAAAGCACTTCTGATGGCGTGCATCTTTATGACATGTAAACAAACATGTACATCTGACAGTAGCTGTTAGGACATGTTTGGACAGCCGGTTCCATCTGAATGAACGATGATCGGAAAATCTGACATGTTTGGATTAATTATCTCAAACATTATCTCTTCGAATCACATCATCGTTCTGTTTGAAGTCTCATAGAGGATTAATCAAAAATAACTGTCTCATGTCCTTTGCTCTGTTTACAAGCAATATCTTATTTATAATATAGCATACAGTCTCATCAGCAAAGAGTGTGATGTGCTAATATCCCACATAACGTCTTTTCCAATGCCATTTTATTTTGTTATTTGACATTTTGCTTCTTATATTTGTATAAATATTTTTATTTATTTATCTTTTTATTGAACATTCTTGAGATGTGTTAATGTTTAAGGAAATCATTTATATATATTTTTTTATTTTGTCGTAGCCCCACACCCTTTTGACCTACATAATAATCTAAATTATGAAACCGATATATGTTTTCATGTTTAAAACAACTATGTACAGAAAACAGAAGTAACAAGTGCATTTTTTAGGGACTATTTTCAGCGGCGGATTAATCCACACTTCTGTGTTCTAGTCTGTTGCGCTGAAACAACAGTAGCCTAACTATTATTATAATTCATCGTTTTGGCCTTTCAGAATCTTTGTTCTTGTTGTAATGATACTTAGATGCACTAAATAAATTCAGTTTTGACCGATAATATTATTGTTAGCAGTACAATTGATCAACAAAATAAGCATTTTCTAAAAAGAAAACCAATGAGTGGTTGACTTCACGATACTTTTCTAAATGTACTATTGCTTCTAATGAAGGGAAAGTATTTCTGCTTCAGTTAATTGATTTAATTAATAGAATAATCCGTTTAGATGACTAAAACAATGGCAGCCCTAGTGAGGGTTGGTGGCTATGTGTTTTAATAGTTGATGGACAATAAAAGACCTTCATGGCTCAGAGAAAGAAGCTCAATCAGGCTTTGAAACTCACAGTACAGTACTTGCTACTTGAGTCTAGAGTACCAGCCTTATTATATAAGTGATTTTACATAATGAACATTACAACCTGGAGGGGAAATATACTGTACAGTAGATGCAGCTTTATAAAGGGTTAACCCCCACTTACTGCGGTGTTTCAACAGGATTTATTATAATATTTCCTCACAGCCTGAGAGGATCATGACCTGAGAGCAGGAGGATCGGTGTGAACTGGACTGGTGTCGAGACCCTAAACAAAAACACCTGAAATAAAACACTTTTATAGATA